TTTTAAACATAAAACCAAACCCAAACCCCCCTCTCATCTCTTCTCTCTTCCAGGCTTTCTCCCCTCACCCTTTTCTGTCTGGCAGTATTGGAGTTGACACCAAACCAGACTCAGGTATTAAAATATCACTGCCCCAATGCCTCAGAAGCCTCTGAAGATAATATCAGAGTAAATACCATTTGTTGTCTGCATTGCATGCCACATGCCAGTGCTACCTAATTAAAAACAAATATATTTTAAAATATGGTTCATTAACTCTCAGGAATACATAATTAAGTAAAAACCAATAGCAAAAAAGAACAAAACAGCAGTAACAAAAAATTAACAACAAATACACACAAACCTTAGTTCATCTAAAGAAGAAATAAGTGGTGTGCTTCAAAATTTAGCAGACTGACAAGCAAGTTAAAATCAAATTCATGGAACCCTTTAGTCTTTAACTGAATTGAAAAGGGATTCAGTTCAGTTAGTGGTCACTGACTAATGGTGTGCTATATCAATACAGCTGCTTAAAAATTAAAAAAGAAATATTCTATCCATTACCAAAGTGCTCTCCCATCTCCACATACTTTATGATGACTCTCAAAATTAAGATCCTCTGCAGCCATCATATATGGCAATGTGACATTCGAAAGATGTCACAAACGAGAATCATAGAAGATTAAAAATCACACCAAAAATTTCTAAGAAAAACCCAAGCAGCACAGCCTTTTTCTGTGATATTGGGTCTAAATTTGGGTCTGACAGACATTTCTCTGGCTGAACACAGAAATGTAGAACCAAGGTAGAGTCTTGTTCTAGGGGGAAAAAAACAGAGGCAACTTTGAAGAGTTCACTCAGTGTAGCCAAACGGGCCTCCTGTGACATTCAGTGGACGCACATCCGCACAAAAGCAGACTCAAATGGACCACCTGTGACATGCAGTGGACGCACATCCGCAAAAGAGCAGACTCAAGTGGACCACCTGTGACATGCAGTGGACAAACATCCGCAGAAAAACAGATTCAGTTCTTTCCTTGCATCCTCACTCCAAAGAGGCACTGCCTAGAAACAAGGAAGACAGAATGGCAGTTGAGGTGTTTCTCTCTGGCCTTGCACATTTAACTGAAAGTTTATATGAGAATAAGGGATGTAGATCAGTGGCCAAGTGCTTGCCTAGCATGGATGAAGCTCTATGCTCCATCTTCAGAACTGCAAAACAGAAAGAAAAAGAAGTTAGCCATGCACATGATGTGACACAAGTGTTTACCCCGTGATAACTGACGGAGCCAAGTTAGAAGGTGTGGATTCCTATACACTGTGCAAATATGTGTCACTGTAATTGGTTTAACAAAATAGCTAAGCAGAATAAGGTTAGGTGCGCAAGCCAAGCTGAGAATGCTGGGAAGGAGAAGGGCGAAGTCTGAAGTCACCTGCAGATACAGGGAGAAGCAAGCTGGGCATGCTGTCTGGAGAAAAGGTACCAAGCCACATGGCAAAGTGTAGATAAGAAATATGGATTAACATAAAATGTAAAAGCTAGCTAGTAATTAGTCTGAGCTATTGGTTGAGCATTGGTAATTAGTATTAAGTCTCCATGTTGGTTATTTGGGAACTGGCAGGCAGGAAAGAAAAGTCGGCCAAAGGAAGTGTTGTTAAGAACACAGACAAATCTTTTGGAATGTTCAGTTGGCCAGTCAGTTTTGTTCACAGACAGAAGGAGAGAAATGGCTAGGATCTGAACCTGGGTCCTCAGCAAGAACAAGCTTAGCCACTGAGCTATTTCTCCAAACCCAAGTATGTTTGGTTTTTGTTTTATATTGTGGGTACTAGAGAGATGGCTTAGCAGTTAAGAACACTTGCAGCTCTTCCAGAGGACGTCAGTTTGGTTCCCAGTACCCATGTCAGGTGACTCACAACTGCCTCTGACTTCAGTTCGAGTTAGGTTCTGATACTTTTAGCCTCCAAGCACCTGCACTCATTTGTACATGCCCACACACATACACATAAATACAAATAAAATAAATAATAAAAATATATGAGCACGGGTGCATACAGAGGCCGGAAGGCAGCATTGGATCACCCAGAGCTGGACTTACAGGCAGTTGTGATCCAACCAACATGGCTGCTGGGAACCAACTGGGTTCTCTAGAAGACTAGCAAGTGGTCTTAACACCAGAGATACCTTGCTTGTGCCCTCAACTGCATATCTGAGCCTCTGCCAGAGCCCTGTGCCCCTCCCCCTTTCCTTATGTGGGAAGTAGCTCCTAGGATCCCATTTGGGTTCAGATGCTACAACCAAGTGCCCCCAAGATGACAGTGACTTGCCAGAGATAGAAATGTATTCTCCCGCTTGACACTAGGCAGGAAGACATGTCACTTGCATGGCAGCTGGAAGGTGCCTTGGTTATTTTATCGCTTCTTTCCCCCACTCCCCCATGGAAAAAAATGCTGTTTGTGGTTCTAAATACTGAACATGTCTTTCCCAGTTGTGCAGACCGCTTCTGCCTGCATCCCACAGATGAGTCACCTGATCACAAGGCAACTTGCAAGGCAGGCTGGGGACTTAGTTTTCAGTCCCCAAGACACACCCAAATCCGCCACTCTACACTTCTTATCCTGAAAGGACACTGAGCAAAATAACTTAAGAAGGACGAAGTTTAAGTCCTGAGACCTTTGAATTGGGGGAGGGTATGTGAGATCGTCATAATGAGCTAGGGGGTGAGACCCTGTACTGAGCTGGAGGGGTGAGGTCATGAAGTGAGCTGGGAACAGTATGATTTGAAGCCTTTCCCAGCAGGGCAATTCCCGAAGGCTTCCCTTTGGGGCTCTTTTCAGAACTCTTCAGTCCGTGGCTTCCCTTCGTGTTGCCTGAGTTCTTACATTGAGGAAATGAAACATAAAGAAGCAGAGAGAGGCCAGGATGCCCCTCTCGGTAGTGATACAGCTGGCTGAAGAAGAGGACATTAGATCTAGCACCAGAAATGCATGCAGGGGAACCCCAGACCTGGGGCTGCAAAGACCAGAGGGAAGTTCCCAAACCAGAGAGCAGAATCCAGGCCCATGCTGAACTGAGCATGACCAGGAATTCCCAGATTTACCGAACAAATCAGGCTTTCATCCTCCCAAGACGAGATGAAGGGGAGAGGAGCAGGGCCGAGATGAAGGGGAGAGGAGCAGGGCCATCCTCAGGAAAAAAAAATCTTCACAACTGAAAGAAGAACTAGAGAAAAGGAGTTCCCCTCTACCATCCTGATGAAGAGTGGGGCCTCGAAAGAGCAGACCAAGCAAGTCTGTAGAAAAAACAAAGTGCACCAGCCCACAAGGCAGGAGTTGCTCGAGCTCAGCTCAGCCTTTTCCTTTGTAGCGCTGAGGCTTTAGACAAGTTCTTTAAGGAGCTTCATGCCCTTGTCTGCAAAAAGTGGCGGCGGCAGATCCCCACAGTGGGGATTAAGCTAAAATGAGGTAAAGCCTGAAAAGCTCCTAGCATGGGACCTGGTAGGGAATGAAGGTTTACCTGCTGTCATGGAATTCGACAGAGACCAGAAGGGTATGCAAAGAGAAACATAAACAGGGAAAGAGGGAAGCTGGGGAAGAATGGGAGATAGGGATCTAGAGGCTTGGCTGTCTGAGTTGTCGGCTGATATTTAAAACAATCTCAACAGGACCTTCCTATCCTATGGCATGTGCACATGCAGGCACATATACACACACACATACACACACACATGCACACACATATATACATACAGATGCATTCATGCACATACACACATACACACATGCTCGCACGTGCACATGCACACGCACACACTAAGAACCAAGATGAGTTTTGAATCTGTCACAGCTCCCTATGTCAGGCATGGATATTGCTTTTGTAGATGTTTTAGAAGAGGCTAGGTTTTGCTGTGTGGCAAGTGAAAACACATCACAAACTCAGTGTTTATAACAACTACAAACATTTATTTCTTTTGCACCCATGCGTCAATTGCTTCCCAGTGCCATACCATGTTTACTTCGGGACACAGAGGGCACACTCTGTCTCTGTTTCTGCACAGTGACAGACTTCATGGAAAATAGATATGCAAATACACTCTCATCCTTTTCTCCAAAGTAGCTCAGATCACATTGTGTGGCTTCAAATTGAGAGCGTTTGGTTTTATAATTATCTATAGAAGGATGAATGTAGCAGACAGTATTCCCGTCTACCTCAACAGACTCCATCCCCATCCAATTACATCCAAGAGCACAAAAGACAGGTGGTTGCTAAGAGCTGCAAAATGGATAGATCAGTATGTCTCCAATGGACCTTACAGAGAGTGTGTGGGAATTCACATGAGAAGTACAGATGTGAGGGTAGTTTGTAAACTGTGGCATTCCAAATTCCTAAGAGGGAGTGTCTTTACTACTCTGAGTATTGGTAAGTCTGCCTTTCTTTCTTCCTTTCTTCCTTCCTTTCTTCCTTCCTTCCTTCCTTCCTTCCTTCCTTCCTTCCTTCCTTCCTTCCTTCCTTCCTTTCTTTCTTCCATTCTTCCTTGTTTTCGAGACAGAGTTTCTCAGTGTAGTTCTGGCTGTCCTGGAACTCTATAGACCAGGCTGGCCCTGAACTCAAAGAGATCCATCTGCCTCTGCCTCCGGAGTGCTGGGATTAAAGGCGTGCGCCATCAGATCTGACTATAGTGTTATTTTTCTACCTCATCCACTCTCTGAACCCAGGAAAGATCTTTTGACCGTGTTAGTGACACACTTTGTTATGTGCTTTGCCCTACTCAGTCCTCAGGACCACTCACAGGTAGATAGACACACAAAATGCAGTGGACTGGAACTGTACGGCTACACTTCCATGAAGTCCCTCCTGTACCGGGCCACGTAGCCCGGGAGACAGTGGGGTTCTCAGGATGCACTGGAGTGCCTGCTAAGCGTACAGAGCTCAGTCTTCAGTGATGAGCCATCTCTGAAGCTGAGCCGTGGTGACAGTCGCACAGTAGCGTGTATAGACTTAGCACCACTAAAGCATACACTTAAAGGCGCTTAAGTGGGCCCGAGGGAGAGGGCTCGGGCAGTAGCTGCTGACTGTATTCTTGTTTGCTCTCTGCTGCTGTGATAAACACTGGGACCAAAAGCAACTTAGAGAGGAAAGGGCCTTTCAGCTTCTGCTTTCGGGTCAGGGACCGTCATGGAGGGACTCGGGCAGGAACTGGGACAGAAACAATGAAGAAGCTGCGTACTGGATCACTCCTCCCTAGTTCACGCTCAGCCAAGACGCACACACCCCAGATAATGCTACCCACAGTGGGCTGGGCCCTCCCGCTGGGCCCTCCCACATCAGTCAAGACAACCTCCCACATCAGTCAAGACAACCTCTCAGAAATGGCTCCTGCCAAGCCTGGTCTGAACGATTGCTCATCGGAGGTTCCCTCTTCCCGAGAGCGTCGAGTGGACACGAAAACTAGTCAGCACATTGTGTAAACTTGAAGGCCTGTGTTCCAGCACCAGCACCCACGGAAAAGCTGCCTATGGCGGCGTACACTTGTAATCCCAGCGTTGGGGACTTGAAGATGGGGGCCCCTGGGGCTCATTGGCCAGCTAGCTGGTCTCACCTATCCAGAGACTCCCAGGCTTGTAAAAGATCCTGTCTCAAAGACCAAAGCAGAGATGACACCAAAGGTTTTCCCCGAATTACATATGTGCCTACACATATACACCCCTGCACACATAGACACTGTACAACACACCTATGCACAAACACACACCTATACTCATATATATGTGTGTATACACACTCACAATGAGTGGGGAGGTTGTTCCCTTTTCTGGGCCTCATTTTCCATACCTGGAATACGAGGAGATTATTGCGCTCAGACAGGAATCCATTCCAGTGTGTCTCAGTCCTGGGGCCCCAAGGTTTTCCTCAGGTTCGGGTTGATGAGGCTATTATCCCCCCACCCCCACCCCTCCACTTCCCACTCGCAGCAACTCTCTGATGGGAAAAATATAACACACAGCAACCATTCTGAAGGATTTATGACTTGGAGTTTTGTTTTAAAACTTTTAAAATAGCAGAGAGATAAAGAACTTACCGTGGGCTCTGGTGTTCTCTGCTCTGTGCTGGTAAGGTTGTGCCGGGCAGCAGGAGAGGCCCTGGGCTGACATTTCCTCGGATGTTAAGAATGCTGGCCTGGACTTGGGCCCTTGTCTCTTTAGTTCCGCTCAAGCTCCTCAGCCTGTGTTGTGCTTTTCAGCTCTGACCCTTGTAGTAACTGGCAGACCCAGAGGAGACCATGGCACCTTTGAAAATGCGTCTTTGCCGGGCTGATAAGAAAGCAGAGAGCCAGGCAGCCCACAGCAAGTCCTTGCGAGTTGAGACCAGACAACAGAGTTTGGACTTTTATTTACTGCTTCCTCCAGCGCTATCTCGGCAGGTAGCTCATCCGTTCGAAGGCTCGAGCAAGCTTAGTTTCTCTTGGCCTCAGTCTCCTCATCCGTGGAACAGAGGTGGGGTCCCTAGTTGATCGAGTTGGTAAGGAGCCTCTGTAGCTCCTAGGCACAAGTGTTCCACACTCTGCTCTTTTCCAGACGCCCCCTCCACCCCCTGAGGAGGCCCACACAGCAACCTCCGAGGCTGCTGGGAGAAATGACCTCGGATCCAGAACTGATTGCAATGCATTGTTGCGTTGAAAATGCTCTGTATGGCCATTCTTTTCTCTTCGCTGCGACTTAGCAGGAGCGACTGCAGGAGTGGAGATTTATCTTGGCTCTCGGTTTTAAGGACTCCCAACCAATTATGGGGAAGGCATGATGGGAGGAAGCTTGTCCTCACCTCCTGCCTCCCAGCAACCTGCGTCCTCCAGCCAGGCCCAAGAAGGTCCCCACTTTCCCCAAAGGGCAGCACCAGCTGGGAGCCGAGTTCAGAAACGTGCAAACCACAGCGCTTCCTCGTGCCTTGGGCTTGCCAGAGATCTTTTCCACTCCAGAGATGGGCACAAAAGAGAAAGAGAAAGGAAACATGAAGGAAGCCGAATTTCTTCCTGCCGACATTTTTTTTTAGTTTTTTAAAGAATATTTATTTATTTATTATGTTATGTTATACAATATTCTGTCTGTGTGTATGCCTGCAGGCCAGAAGATGGCACCAGACCTCATTACAAATGGTTGTGAGCCACCATGTGGTTACCGGGAATTGAACTCAGGAAGAGCAGGCAATGCTCTTAACCACTGAGCCACGTCTCAGCCCTTCATTTTGAGTTTTTGACAACTTTTACAGCACACACACAGGATACACATGTTGGGAGTACATNGTGGCACATGCCTTTAATCCTAGCACTCAAGAGGCAGAGGCAGAGACAGGCAGATCTCTGTGAGTTTAAGGCCAGCCTGGTCTACAGAGTGAGGTCCAGGATTGCTGGAGCTATAAAATGAGATCTTGTCTCGGGGTTGCGAGGGAGCCCTTAGCCAGTGATTCTAAATCACATCAAGTGGACAATTAAGACTGACCACCACAGCATGTCTAATTTACAGAAAAATTGTATGTAATCAGCTGCAGAGGTCATCAATTGTAGTAGTATTCCAGTTCCAGGAAAAGATCTCAGGTAGACTCCATGTCCTTATTTCGCTGACCCTCCTGTCCTTCCATATAAGTCTTGAACATATGTGAGCTCCCAGAGATGCTATTTGGAAGGGGTGGGGTAGACATATGTGGCGGTCCCTCTCCAGGTTCCAAGGGTGCCAGCTCTCGAATAAACCTTATTTCCTTCCAGGAGACTCTTGTCTTTCTGAAGCAGATGGACTTCAGTAATATTTGGGGGTCTACCCCCATTATCTGAGCATCTATCCCACATGACCACCAAACCCTGACGTCATCACTCATTCTCATTTATTTTGACCCCTTCACTACTGGAATCTAGCCAGGGCATATAGGTACCAGACAAGTGATACCACTGAGCTACACCCCCCCCCATTTTACTTCTTTGATGTTTCTGAGAATCCCAGGGATGCTTTCATTTTCCACAAATGCACAGGGGAGAACACGCCCTCCTTCACGAATTCCTCTGTTGGCATCTATCTGCTGCCCCTCTGTGTCTTCACTGGATTCTTGACTCTTTCCTCAAAGTGCATCCAGTAGGTTCAGACTGAAGGATTTTTGCCAAAGTCTTTCTGATGGCATCATCATTCTTTTTTTTTCAAAGATTTATTTATTTATTATGTATACAACATTCTGCCTCCATGTATGCCCGCACACCAGAGGAGGGCGCCAGATCTCAGTACAGATGGTTGTGAGCCACCATGTAGTTGCTGGGAATTTAACTCAGGACCTCTGGAAGAGCAGCCAGTGCTCTTAACCTCTGAGCCATCTTTCCAGCCCCCTGGCATCATCATTCTTTAGAGACCTCGCCTCAGAGAACACGGAGGGTAAAGCATTTCATTTGCTCAAGATCACAGCAGTGCCCAGAAGCTCAGTGAGAGAGTGTAAGAGCTAAAGATATGTTTTAAGTTTTAATTACTGTGCCTGAAAGATCCATAAAATAAAAATGCCTCTAAGCTCTAAATCCCTTGTCCAAACACAAATACTTCCTGAGAGGCTGGAGGCTGAGGTAAGATAACAAGGGACATGTTTCACTTCCCTAAACTAGTCTGGTTGACTCAACTGCACCAGATGTGCTTGGTCACAAGTAGACAGGCGGTATGGATAATCCCACTGGTCAAGAATAATTAAAGTAAAATTTTAAGCAAGCTTTAATTTAACAGTAAAGAGGTGGACGGTCTCTGGCCAGGTCTGTCTCTGGTTTCCCAGAAAATGGCCCTGAGTCATTAAACCCACAATTTACCACATTTCCCACAAGGTCTAATCAGGAGCACACATACATACATCCTGATGTACTTCCTACCTGCAAACCTCCTGCCTACATCCAATCAGGAGAAAGGGTACATGCTGACACATTTCCTGCTCACTTGCGATCAGGCACATCTGATGCAGCTGGGTCAAACAAACTTGATCAGGGAGTGAAAATGTGTGACTTATTATCTCCCATAAACAACAGCCTCCAGCATTTCAGGAACTATCCTTGGGCAAAGGAAAGGCTTGCAGATCAAGAGACATTTTTGTTTCATGGCTCTCTTAGACATAGTAATTAAAATTTAAAATTTAACTTTGGCCTTTGCAATAAGTGGAAAGAGATTGCATCTCCCCCCCCCACTCACACTCTACTGTTTTTTTGTTGTTGTTGTTGTTGTTTTTGTTTTTGTTTTTGTTTTTTATTATAGCATTGGTACCGTGATCTTGGCAGACTATCCTGGCACTTCCTCCTGCCTGCCAGTAGTCTGAGGCATGCTGGAACCCTGAAACCTAGGCCACAACTACAGTCTTGTTTCTTCAACTAAGGGATTTCTGGACCCCTCCATCTGACACCAGCATGATAAGTGAGCCCCCCCCCCTTCTCTGACCATTTCCCATGAGTGAGGAGTCATCTCTTGACCATGGTTTCTCACTTCTTAAAGACACCGTGATATCAGACAACCACATGTCTCTTGGGGCTCAACGCCCCACGGCTCCTGGACCTTTGGGTGATGACTCACTGACCAGCTTGTGCCTTCCTCATCATCTCTCATCTCTCCAGCTCAGAAGTCTGTCCTCTAATCTGTGTTTGACAAATCACTGAGCAGCTTGGGCCTTCTCAAATCCGATCCTCTCTGAATTCCTGGAAATCTAGGAATTGCAGATCCTATTTATACACCTCACTCACGGGATCTGCGTCTTCCACGTAACCTCATCTGCCTTTGCAGTTAGATCTGACCCAAATACCCCTTAGATATCTATCTAAATGACTGCTTTCCAGCATCCTATATCCTGGTATTTTACGGGACCTTTGCAACATTCTGCCAGTGATCTGCTAGATGGACAGGGGTACCCTATTTTCAACCTTTATTTTATCTTCACTCCAAGCCCTCTCTCTGTTCTTTCTAACTCCATTTCTTTCATTAAAGAATTCCAATGTTAGTTTCTGCAGCAACAGCCTGCCTCTGCCACAAAAACAGTTACATGCCATAGGTCCCTCCCCACCATCAGCTGTGTGACATGTGCACCCTTTGAAAGTGCCTGCCAGGCACTCCTCTTTACCTCTTGTCTGCCTGCCTCTCACGTCCTCACTCTTCCCCTCTCCCCAAGGCCTCATAAGCCTCTTGCACTAACTCTGTTGCACGTGGTGTGTCCGCTTAGTGACAGGGTCTGCCAAAGGTACCCACTTTCCCCACTTTCTTTTTCTTTGCTCCAAAGCCTGCTTGTGTCTGTCTGCTCTCCCTCCCTAAATGTCCTGTCTAGGTCAGCTTCAGCATGAGAGCCAGAGGTGGAGAAGCCAGCTTCATCTTGCTCAGCACCCACCAGTTTTCCCTTTCTTTTAATTTATTCAACTCCTGTTTAACATATGTGTGTGTGTGTGTGTACACATATGTGACTTGGATTTAACTCTGTATGTGTGACTGCAAGCTAGATCTTACAACTTGTGTGTATGTGTATTAACTCGGATTCACCTGTGTGTATATGTGCATATAGCTATTGTTTAGAAAGACATGTTTTAAACAGATACCGCGAGGCTCTCCTACATCTTGTCTGGTGACCTCATCACGATGTAGGCAGCCACATGGCTGACAGCCAACTTTTACTGGGGTTAAAGAGCACACTTCTTAGTCCTAATGAGCTCTGTCCACTGTGTCTCCTTCTGGACTAAGGAAGCAACACATCTCAAATATTTTAGATTCGTATGAACTTTTGTATGATGATAAAAATATATTGTAAAGTTGNATACAAAGCTTTCACAAGCAGGACCAGAGGTGGTTAACAGTCTACATGACCTTTGCATTATTTCTATGAGCAGGATCTTCCCAAAGTTCCCACACCATACCAGATCCCTCCCTAGGCTCCTAAGGTAATGCAGGTAAGTTTGGCAGTGGTAGCACATGCCTTTAATCCCAGCACTTGGAAAACAGAGGTGGATCTCTGAGTTTGAACCCAGCCTGGTCTACAGAGCGAGTTCCAGGACAGCCATGTCAACACAAAGAAACCCTGTCTCCAAAACAAAACAAAACAAAATGGTAAGAAATGTGGCCTGTCTCTAGAACCAATCTTCTCAAAAGAAGTGACATGTACTTTGAGTTAAGTTTGGATATAATTATGCCTTCTTGTGCAAGGGGATTGTATAACACAGGGAAATTTTCCCCAAAATTGTACTGTGCTTGAATATGCTTACAGTAAACTGTTGTAAACTGCTGAGGGTCTGACTTCAGAAATTTGAACAAGTATCAGCTAAGTCATGTTGACCAGATTTCCTTCTTGCCTCTTGAATACCATTCCTCTGCCAACCAGAGCATTTACAGACCCCTTTCACGTCTTCTAGAACTTTGATATAGGATATTATGGTCTTCCCAATTATATCCTATAGTAGTGAGGTTTCTGTAGGTCTCTACCATCACATCTTTGTAGAGTTTCTTCTGGAAAGGATTCAGCAAAGTCCATTCTTCCCAAGTGAAGTCAACATGCACGTCATCAAAGGTCACTGCATTCATGGTGCAGCCACCAAGCTGACAGACTCTCTGCCCACAGGAGAGCCCCAGACGCAGTGCGTGAGGGAGCTGAACCGAAAAGAACCTGCCGACATATTTATTTCGGATTTCGGTTTTTGTTCATTTTACATTCGACTTCTTCCACACTGTCGATGAAAAACCGGTTCAGGTAGGTGTGCTGCGTTAAGCAGGTGGATACGATGGAAAACCAAAACACAAAATAAAATCTCTGTTTAGTCAATAACTAAGCCCAGCGCAGCTGGCCTTCACAGATCAGGCACCTGGACTTCATGTAGTCTCAGGAATGGAACACTAGCCAAGGCCACTACTTTCCAAAACCTACTATAAGTAAAACACCCTGTTCTTCTGGAAAACTCAGGGGAGCAGAGCATTTCAGGACTTTTCCGCAAGAGGGCGCAGTGTGCCCATGCCAGTCTGCTACGGCTAGCCTGGCCTGTGGCCACAGGACCCGTTTGCCCTGCTGGCGCACACCTTTTTTGGCAGCTGTGTTCCCCGAGTCTCTTTGTTACTCCAGTCTAGGAGTAAGTGGAGAAGCTTTGGAGTCAGGTGTACTTGGATTAAAATCCTGGCTCTCCCATTTGCTAAAATCTTGGCAAGTTAGCTCTCATTCTGATTAATAATTAGTGGCTTCGTTCCAAGCTTGGGGAAGTATAGAATTATAGACACCCAGCACACAAAGGAGCCTGCCTTCCACCTCAGTCAGTGAAGCCCAAGCACTTCAAGGATCAGGACCCAAAGGTCCAGACTTGAGGCGAGCCCATGTCTTACTCTCTGGACTCCTGCACTTCCCTCGGGCAACCATGAACGCAAGGATCATTGTTCATCGAGTGCAAACGTAGGAAGTCCTTTATGCTGCTAGCTCGGACTCCCTTTTCGAGCAAAGCCAGAGTGCGGCATTCCTCATCCGGCTTCCGCAATTACACACTTGGGCGAGTACTTGACCTCTTGGCTCTCTTTTTCCTCATCGCGGTGACGAAAAGCATAGGGTAAAGATGAAAATAGTGCCTACCCCATAGTGTCCTGTGCCCTTTCAATGAGAGCATGACCGTCGTGCTCACATAGAGCCTGGCACCTCACAGGCGTGGGATGGGCGTTAATTGATTTTGTTTTTAGCATAATACTTTTATTGATTATTTGGGAATTTCACATAATGCACCTCGATTATACTCACTTCCCAGTCCTCCCAGATCCACCCCCATCCTTGTGACCTCCTCCCTGAGAAAATAAGAAACAAACAAACAAAAACTAGTTCATTGTGTGCTGCCCATACACTCACGGAAGCATGGCCAGCCCCTTAATGAAAACTGAGTCCTTCCCTGCCCACCCCACAGGAGCCATCAACTGTGCAGACTACACAGCATGCCTACCACAATTTTTAAGAGTACTTCTCTACAATGACTTCCTGTCTAGCTTGGTTTTTTTAGGGGCGGGGGAAAGGTGGTCACAGAAGCCTTGTATGTCTCATTCTCAGCTTGAGTCTGTAGTCATCAGCACCACTGCAAAAGAAGCTTCCTTGCCCTCCACAGTCAGCAGGCCAGCAAGGATCAGGGACTTCCACAGGGTTTCTGGAAACAGCGTATCTTAGTGGCAGTACAGACCATGGACGTCAACACGACCCTCGGGTCTTATACTCTGTGTCACGTGAGCTTCCCGAGCAAGTTCTCACCCATAGCGAAGGTTGGCCATAGGGTGGTGACAATGAATAAAACATGATGAAGTTTATCCCCTTTCATGGAGCAAGGAAGGATGTTTTCTAAGGCTGTATTCTAACCTGTTCTGAAGAGCATTCCTTAGTGTTAATTGCCAATTTGAAGGGACCTAAAACCCCCTGGGAGATTGTTCATTTATGTGGGACGGACATTCCCCTCCCTCGGGGATACTAGATATGAATGGAGAAGGGAAGCCGAAGCCGTGTGCGTTTGCCCTTCTGTTTCTGACTGTGTGCTGGGACAGGTTGCTCCTGGATCCCCCTGGCCTCTCAACTGTGAGTGAAAATAAACCCTGGCTCCTTTAAGGTGCTTTATTGGAGTACGTTTCCACAGCAACAGGGAAAGACACTAAGATAATTCCCTGGTATTGCTGTTTCCCTTAATTGTGCAGCATCTTCCCATCCTTACTGAGCTCCTCCCCGCCCCCCCCCCCCAGCAGCCAGTTTAAGGTTAAGCCCTGGCGACTCTTAGGTTCCCTGTCTGATAGCTATTACATTAAAAAGATGTTATCTTTTCTCCCAACCTTGGCTACTGCTGCAGCATCTCAGGAGAAAGAAGCAACATTGTTGTTCTCAGAGTCTTTACTGTCATTGTCTTCGCGTGGCTGGAGGCTCACCCCCCAGAGTGTCCTGGACTCCAACCACCAATCACTGGAAGGAAATGTAGACTCCTCCAAGTATTTATTCCCTAGAGTTTCTGACTACAACAAGGCAGGTTAAGAGCACAGAAATGTCCTCTCTTGAAATTTTACAAAATCAAAGTCATCAAGGCTGGCCTTCCTCTGACACTGACCAGGACAACTACTAGGTGCTGGTGGTGCCATCCATCTCAGCTGTTCCTTGGTTTGCAGGTGCAGAGATTTGGTCGGCTTCTGTTGTCCCTGGGCCTCCTTCTTCCTTGCTCTTTTCTGAGCTACTGTTGGGGCAGCAGTCTACTAGATGAAGGGTCCAGCCTCTTCCTTTATCATCATACAGTACTTTATCTCTTAATTGCATCAGCAAAAAAAGATGCTGCTTCCAAATAAACTCGATCCTCGGATACCAAGGGTTAGGACGTTCATCTGTCTAGGCGGGAGGGGCACAAGTAACCTCACAGTTTTCATTATTTTTCCATATTTGTGTTGTTTTGGGTGCAGTCTGCGTTCTGCCAAAGCACCCAAAGCAGAGGGACTGAATGTGCCCTCTGAAACTGGGAGCTGACACAAATCTTTCTGATAAGCTGTTTATGTCAGACCGTCCATACCGGTGCGGAGAAAGTGACCAACACAACTTCCGGCCCCTCTTCGCCATCCCTGTGCTCAAAAACTGCTTTCCTGTTTTACTCGGACACAGACCAGAACTTCACGGCCAGACCTGGCTTGCATCTCTTTCTCCTTACAAGGAAAGTAGAGAACGTTAATAGGTCTGCTCATCTCTTGGGATCTTCCAATTATCTGGCATTTAAAGATTACCTTTCATGAGACAGATGCTGCTTTTTTTCCCTAGTTTATGGCCCTCTGTGGAGTAGTCCCGCCCCCACTCCCTTTGCCTGTCCCAGACTCAGTTCCTACACCATGCCTGCCACGCCCGAGTCTGACTTTCCTTGCTAATCAACTTTAAGGTCCCTCTCTAGCACCACTTCCTCTATGATATCTGCCTGGCATTCCTCTAGTCCTCTCACTCCCAGACTCCATAGTTCCTCATTTCCCAGCCTTTCTCAGTTCCCTTGGAATTACAATACCTCACTATAAGACCCTGCTTCTCTGCTTAGGCTGGCGGCTCCTGAGAGATGGAAACTGACCTTGTCCTGTTAGCTTGCTGGGTGCATTTGTCAGAATCCCATCACACTAACAAAATACCTGAGGAAATTGATTTGTCTTGTAGCTTCTGAGGTTCCAGCCCACAATCACTTGGCCCCATTGCTCTGGGCCTGTGGAGAGGCCGGATGTCATCATGGAAGCACCTGGGGAAAGCATTTGAGGAGCAAAACTGTTCACCTCATAGTCGGGAAGAAAAGAGAGTGAAGAGAGGCAGGGGCTCCCTCAGTTATCTCGCAGGGATCATCTCCAGTGATCTGAAAGCCTCCCATTGGGTCCTACCTCTTAAAGAACCCACAACCAAGCTAGGGACCAAACCTTTAACTGGGACCTTGCTCTCAGGATCCATAACAATTCATAGAATGGGCGACTGAGATCAGAAGCTAGTTTCTCACAACTCTGGTGCTAGAAATCCAGATCAAAGTCTCCAGGACTGGTTTCTTCTGAGGACTGGCATTTCCCCCTTAGCTGGTAATGGAAATCTTTTGTTTTTATGTGCTCTTGCCCGAGTGTCTGTGTCTTTCTTTTCTCTTATAGTCAGGTTAGGATACACTACACCCTTACAATGTCTTTTCAATTATCTCTTCCAAGGCTCTGTTACGGTCATTGTTTTGTTTTGTTTGACACAGAGCCTCATTAATGTAGCCCTGGCTATTCTGGAACTCTCTATATGGATCAGGTGACTTCAAACTCAAAGGTCCCTCTGCCTCTCTTACAGCCTCCTCAGTGCTAGGTTAGTTTTTAATTAATAGCTCGCCACAAACTAAAATCAACTAGAAAGAGTCTCAGTGAGGAATTATGTAGATCGGCTTGTCTTCTGGGCACATCTGTGGGGAAGACCAACCCAGCCCACTGTGGGCAGCACCATTCCCTAGACTAGAGGACCTGATCAGGGCAAGAAGAGAAAGCTAAGGGAAAACAAGCAAGGATGCACTTATCCTCTTTTCACTTGACTGAAGGTGTGAGGTCGCTATTTGACTTCCCCAAATGACAGATTTGTAACTTGGATTTGTAAGTCACATAAACCCTTTCCTATAGATGGAAGTTTCTGTCCCACCCAGTCCCAGAGCTGTTCAGTCCCAAATAAATATACAGAGGCTTATATTAATTATAAATGGTTTGGCTTATTGCTCAGGCTTAATACTAACTAACTCTTACAACTTAAATTAACCCATGCTTAGTCATGTGGCTTGGTACCTTTTCTCAACATGGCATTCTCATCTTGCTTCCTCTGCATCTGGCTTGCAACTGCATCTCTGCCTTTCCTCTTCTTAAAATTTTTCTATGTTGTGGAGGCTGCTTGTTTATTCCCAGCTGCCCAGACCAAAAATAATCACACAGAAACTATATTATTTGCAATACTGTTTGGCAAATAGCTTAAGTGTATTTTTAGCTAGCTCTTACATCTTAAATTAACCCATTTATATTCATCTGTATATCACCATGTGGTTGTGGCCTACCGGTAAGGCTTCATCTTGTGTCCAGTTAGTCTCCTGAGGCAACTATATGGCTTCTCCCTGACTCTGCCTTCTTTTTTCCTCTATCTGCTAGGAATTCCCATCTTTCTCTGTTCTG